CTCTTTCTGCAAAGCAGGAGTGACTTTCCTGCGCTCTGTCTCCAGTGCCTCCAGATTTTGGAAGCATTCTCTGGAAATGTTCCTAGCCCTGAGGTCAGTCTCTGAAGGTAGCCAGAGGCCAGCCTCGAGGGTGAGATTTGTGAGAGGGGAAAGACGTTAACAAAACTTTTTATCAGTAAAGAAATGACTGGTATAATTTTCCACAGTGCTTTGTTTATTCACTAGGTGAACTGTTTGTGGATATATTCCTGAAATAATAGATTATATATTTGTAAATACAGCTTATTTCACTATTATGTCTACTATAAACATCCGTGCTTACCTTAGTTTCCAATTTCATCTTCGCGGTGCTCAGCTCTTCTTTTATTTGATTGATTTTTTCGTAACTCCTATTTATGTCACATTTAGCTGCAACATAACAAAAAAAACCTGTAAGAACGTGTGCCCAACTGGTAGAAGTTGAGCTTATAAAAGCACGTTACTGGCAAGAAGCAGCCAGCCCAGCTGCCTGCCAAGCTCTTCCCCAGGGCAGCGCGATGGGGCTGCCCTCCCGAGAGGCCACCGGGTGCGGCCGCAGACCTTGCTGGATGAGGTGCCTCTTCTCCCCCGCCTGCTTCTCCGTGAGCTGTATTTGCTGGAAAAAAGCATCCAGGTTCATGCCTGTCTCCTTGGGGAAGCTGCGGGCTCGCTGGGTCCCTGTGGACTGCGTGGAGGGGTGGTTGGTAAAAGCTGGGGTGCCCTGGAGGAAGGTGTGTCTGGGCCCAGCCACAGGCCTTCCCCTCAGGGGCTCTGTCCTCTGGCTGCTGCCTTGCTGGGGGCGGGAAAGAAACCCCAGACCACTGAGGAAAGCAACTGTGGTAGGCAGGACACGGCTGAGGAGAAAGGTGACAGAGAGGGACACATAAGATGCAGGAAGTGGGGGGATGAGAGGGAACCTTGGGCAGAGAAAAAAAAAGGATGAGTGGCTGGGGGAACGCACATTGGAAACACAGGAGATGGAAAAAAGGCAGAGAAGCAGCCCAGGAGGAGGAAGGTATTTGGCTAGGCAAAAGGCAGCTGAAGCTCTGAGTCCTGTCAGGCTTGTGCACATTTGTGAAATATTTATTCTGGTTTAGGGTAAGGGGAGTTTTGATCAAACAGCTCTGACTTTATTTCTCTGGGACCATGTGCTTTAAACTGGTTTGTGTTGTTCTAGAGAGTGATTAGAATGCTTTTTGAATGGTATATATGCTTAGATTATTTTGCCTTCTGAAGATCAATGGCTGACCTTAGCAGTTAAGGAGGTAGGCTAAAATCTGTTATCACATGCAGGAGAAGATGGTAAAGCTGACTACATAATACTTAAGTGACAGTGAATAGAGTTAACTCCGCTGCATTTCACTGTTAATTTACAATGACAGTGTTTCTGTTCCAGTTGCTCTCAGTAATATCTTAATGTAGCCCATTGAACACTCTCCCAGAGAACACTTGTCTATGATTTTACTGTGCTCTGAGCTTCTGCAACTTTCTGGTTTGTACATGGCTGGATGGTATACTTGGAAACGTAAACACCTGTTTGAAAATTAAATTACAGGGTTGGTTCACAGAATCATAGAATTGTCAGAGTCGGAAGGGACTTCTAGAGATCATCCAGTCCAACTCCCCTACTAAAGCAGGATCCCCTAGAGCACATTACTTAGGACTGCATTCAGGCAGGTCTTGAATATCTCCAGAGAAGGGGACACAGCCCGTTCTAGTGCTTTGTCATGCTCACCATAAAGAAGATTTTCCTCATATTTAAATGGAATTTCCTATGTTCCAGCTTGTGCCTGCTGCCCCTTGTTCTGTCACTGGGAACTACTGAAAAGAGTCTGGCTCCATCCTCCCTGCACCCACCCTTGGGATACTTGTAGGCATTAATAAGGTCTCCCTCAGCCTTGTCTTCTCCAGGCCAAAGAGTGCCAGCTCTCTCAGCCTTTCCTCATAAGGGAGATGCTCCAATCCCCCAGTCATCTTGGTTGCCCTACTGGTCACACTCTTCCTTATCCAACCCAGAGTTCCATTGGCCTTCTTGGTGGCAAGGACATATTTCTGGCTCATGGATCATTTACTATCTACCAAGACTTCCAGACCCTTCTCCTCAGAACTGCTTTCCAGCAGCTCCACTCCTAACCTATATTGGTACATGGGTTTCTTCCTCCCCAGGTGCATGACCCTGCACTTGCCCTTGTTGACCCTCAGTAGATTCTTCTCTGCCCAGCTCTCCAGCCTGTCCAGCTTACACTGGATGGCAGCACCGCCCTCTGGAGTGTCAGCCACCCCTCCCAGTTTGGTATCATCAGTGAACTCACTGAGGATATACTCTGTCCCCTCATCCAGGTCATTGAGGAATATGTTGATCAAGAGCAGACAGAGTATTGACCCTGGGGGACACCAGTGGTTACAGGCCTCCAACTCCACCCTACTCCATTAATCACAAGCCTCTGAGTTCTGTCACACAGCTCTCAATGCCCCTCACTGTTCACTTATCTAGCCACACTTGCTGAGTTTCCTAATGAGGATGTTATAGGAGACAGTGTCAAAAGCCTTGCTGAAGTCAAGGTAGACTCCATCCACTGCTCTCCCCTCATCTAGCCAGCCAGTTACAAAGTCATAGAATGCAATCAGATTGGTCAAGCATGATTCCCATTTGGTGAATCCATGCTGACTTCTCCCAGTGACATTCTTTGCTTTCACTTGTTTTGTGGTGACATCCAGAACATTTTTTTCTAACACCTTACCAGGGACAGAGGTGAGACCAAAGGGCCTGTAGTTCCCTGGGTCATCTTGAAAAGTTGGCCTATTTGCTTTGAGGCAGACAAAGCCTGGAGGAGTGGGACTTCATACCCTTCCAGCCTTTTTAATATTTAAAAAGATTAGGTTTATTGGCATCCTGTCTTGTTGAAGAGTTTTCGCCAGAGGAGATACTGTCTTAGAATAGACTGCAGCAGCAAAGTTCAGAATTAGAAAGAGAAGATCTCTGACTCAAAAATGAGAGTACAAATGTCTTATTAGTGAAAAAACTCCTATAAGTTAGTAGAATGAAACCATGAATTCTGGAAAAATGTTACGTTACAGCATTTACTGCTTGAAAAGTGTCATGTTAGATCAGATAGAGCAACGCCTTTTCTTTAAAAAGAACAATTTTATAGTACTCTAAGAAAGAAAATGTGGGTTCTGATCAAATTTTAAAACCTGGAGCTAGCACATTACGTTGCAGGAAATGCAATTATTTTTTAAAAATGGAACAAAGTGCAACCGAGGGAGAAGAGTTCACAAAAGTGAATTTAGAAAATGTTTCAGAAGTGAGGCTTCAATCCAAAGGCCAAAGGAAAAGCGGATGAGCCAAATGGGAACATTTGGTGATTGAGACAGTGATTCGTTACACAGGTCTCATGAGTGAAAAAGTCATTTTACAAAACTCAAGAAAACGAACTGCTCTATCAGTGGATCAAGGAGAAAAGAAAATGGAATGCTTTCTTTGAAGTTTTTGAGACTTGACTGCTTTTGTGTTTCAAACTGAGAAAGCTGCTGTAGGCTGGGATAGTGTTCAGTGTCACTTATTAAAGAAACGACTGTGTTTTGTTGAGGGTGCTTCAGTGTCTCTAATTATGGCAAAGGAACGTCTCTCCCTAGAAAGAGGAGTCTGGCTCCAACTATACTCCTCACTGTCTGAGAATGACCATTCAGTGTGATTAAGTTCTTCTAAAGATTCCTTCAGAAACTGAAAAAATGCAAAGTGGGACAAGTATTTGACATTAGGCTTCATATCTATTTGCCATGTGCTTGATTTTTACATGGTAAATAACTCACAATAGTATCTAAGGATTGTAAAAAGTGAACCATGCATGTGAAACATATACAAAAGCTTTCAGAAGCAGGATCAAGGCCACTACTTCAAAGCCTGTGCAGTTGCCTGGCTCCCATGGAAATGGATGAGATGGTGTAAGTCTCAGAATGTTACAGAATAAAAGTAAAATGTGATTTACCTTTGCTCAACTCCAGCCTTTGCAAAGTATAAGATCTTTTGTAAATCACTTGCTGTTAGAAAAGTGACTTTAATTTTACTCTGTCGGTCATATCAGTACATCCTAATCTTAATCTATATCTGTATCTTAATCATTGTGCTGTAATCAGGTCATCTTTCTAGTGTACTTAATTGCCCTCTGTAATCAAGCTACTGTGCTGATAGTAAAGTTTCTTCTCTAAGTTTATTCTCTAGTTTGTGTAGGAAGATGGAAAGGAAGATTTTGTTTGTAATTTCAGGTCACTATAAAAATATATATTAGTGTAATTTATTTCTAAATCATATACATTCAGATTGTTTCAAAGATTGTTTTTCTGAAACCCAAAAATGAAAGAGGCAAAGGTTAGAGGACGTAATAAAAAAAATAAAAAATTAATAGAAGCTAGACATTACAGGATTGTAGTTACAAATAGGTTTTCTCTTTTATTCTTAAGCACTGTTATTAATATTTTTTCCATATACAAACTATACTGCTTACTATTGCATTTACAGCAAACCTTCTTCCCAAATGACATCTTTCTGGTCCTCCTTTGCTCTTGGCAGTCTTTGCATTTGCCATCTTTTTTTTTTGCACTAACTTCTTTCTACCCCACATGAAGAAATGAAGCCACATTATTCTGTGTAATAAATTCACAGCTATCATTTTGTGTTCAGTGCTGAATTCTGAGCTATTCTTTACTGGGAAATAGCATATATATGTGGTATGTATGTAAATATGTAAAATAAAGAAAGAGCACTAACCACTTGGAATTCAGTGTAGAGCAGCAACGTTGATGGAGGGAAGTCCAGTAATTATTTGGTATAAGTAAGCCTGAAAAATAGCAGCCTTATTAAAATTAATTTAATAATGTAGCTCTTAAAAGCAAACCTTTCTGTCTACTACTTTACAACTTAAATGTTAAAACACAGTAAGCGGTGAAAAGTGGCAACACGTAATAAAGTAGTTTTAATGCAAATCAGAAAGATTTGGTGTGACTGTTCTCCCCCTCCCGGTGGCCACCCATGGCCCTGCAGGGCAGGATGGAGCTGTTCTCCCTCTTCTATTGCCTGTTTCCTGCCCGGAATGGCTGGGATAGGGGGAAAACAGGAACAGCAGAACAAACCCTTGGTGATCTCTGCTTGAATATATCTGAGTTCCGAAGAAGAAGAAGACCCCTCAGCTACTTCTGAAATCCTAAAGCAGGACAGCAGAAAAGAACACTAACATGCAGTCATAACCTATAATTTCTGACTTATCTCTAATTTGCTGAGGAACTTGGTTTAAACCAAGTCTAGTAATTATCTCTGAAAGAGTGAGAGCGAACACACAGGCTGGAAACTCACCATTTCTAGCAGAATGCTCAACAAGGGGCTCAAGAATGGACATTTTGTTTCCTCCTTGTAACAGGGAGGAGGTAAACTACAAAAATTCATATAATAAAATACAAAATAATGGAAAATGTAGAAATAAATCCCTGGAAAATTGCATGCAAATGAATACAGAATGTTTCCCTGTGCTCTAAATCCCTTTTTTCTCTGTTTTTTTCAGGCCACAAAATTGTGAGTTAGTGAAAAGCTGTGTGTTTATAATGTATTGAAAAACACTAAGAAGTAACTTCATACTCCCTCTAATT